ACCTTAATAGAATATAATTTAATGCTCGCTTGTTTTTTGTAGAAGTTCACATTACCATCAATCTCATCCCTCACTTTTCTTAACATGGTTAGAACTTTCGGTATGGTTTTATCATAATTCAACATAAATCTTTCTATACCATTACTGTTTTAAGAGCTTCCATTCGTGAAACGGGCGCTATAGTGCATTGAACGAATGGTACAATGAATAATATATATGTAAAAAATGAAAAAAAGATGTATTTATTGAAAATAACAACAAAAGTAATCTCATAAATTAATAAGTTATTAATTAATGTATAGATTAATAATTACTAATTTATCGATAAGTTAATATTTCGCTAAATTAATGAAATTTTGATGGTTCCAACAATATTAATTTATAGAGGTTTAACTGTATATGCACATTGTTATCGTTATTTATGGAGTTGGAAAGATAATTGATGCTTTTAATCTAACCAAAACACGGTTTGGTATATTTGTTGTTGATATTTTCATATGAGAACTAAATTCTTGGATTATTTGTTGTTTAGAGAAATGGTGTAAATGTAGTGTTGAAGATAGAGTATAAAGTTGTGATAAGTGAAAGAACTTTGGTATGATGATTGTGAAGTTGTTCAACTTACAACTAGGGCAAAATACACTTTACACCCTTATTTTAACGGTCAACATATTTGACTCTTAACGGTGTTAGAAGTAAAATAAATTTAATATATTTTTAATAATTCTTACTAAAGGACACATTTTCTTTATTTAAAAAAATATCACACGTACTATAAATATATGAAATAAATATTTAAGATAGCAATTCCTTTTTAAATTTTGAATTAAATATAATTTACTTGATAAATATTTATATTAAAAATTAATATTTAGATAATATAATTTTCATATATTATTTTATACAACCAAGTAGCAAGTATAATTTTTCATATTTTGGATTAAATTATTTAACTCATTAAACATTGTGTACATTGAATTTTTAATATTTATTTGTAACATTAAATTCCGTATAGTGAATCCTAAATGTAAAAGGCTTAAGTGAATTTTGATGTTACAAATAAATAAAATTAATCATTAGCATATATCGTTAAAAAATATTACTGTAGAATTATAATTTTTAATATAAATATTTAATGATTAAATATTTTATACTATATTTAAAAATGTATACATGTTAAATATTTATTTAATATATTTATCCACAATGAAAATATATTTTTTTAATAAAAATAAGATGTCATTTCTTATGAATTATTAAAAAGTAATAATAGTTTTCTTATTTAATCAAAATTTAAAAATATTATTATCTTAAATATTTATTTAATTTATCCATACTACATGTAATATTTTTTTAAATAAAAAAATGTGTCATTTAGTAGGAATTGTTAAAGCTATATTAAATTTATTTTTCTACTAACACCGTTAAAAGTCAAATAGTTTGACCATTAAAATAAGGGGGTAAGTGTATTTTACATAGTACGAGGGGTAAGTGTTACGTGAGGCATAGTACAAGGGGGTCTAGTGTATTTTGCCCTATATATAATTACAATTAGCACATTGGTTCTTAAAAAGTTCAATAATGTATGTAAACTAATTCCAATTTCATTCCAAAATTTTCAAAATCTAAAAATTTATTCCAATTCCAAAAGTTATGAAAATTCGAAATTTCAAAATTTTCAGAAATCACGTGAATTTTAACAATTTAAAAAAGTTTCAGAAATTTTCAGAAATTTCAAAAATAAGAGCATACACTTTATAAAATCATAAAACTAAAACTACTAATGCGATAAATTCTAATATTTTAAACATAACTATAATTATTCCAATTGCACTGGACACTTATTTTGTTTTCTTCGCAGGCACTTATTTTCAACTAGGATTTTTTATTTTTATTTTTATTTATTTATTTATTTATTTTGTAGTTTTTTTTACATAAAATAACGGGCAGAATACACTTTACCGTCTTATACTATGCCCAATGTAATACTTACCCCCTCGTACTGTGAAAAATACACTTACAACCTTAGTTTAATGGTCAACATATTTGACTTTTAACGGTAGTAAAATAAATTTAATATATTTTTAACAATCTTTACTAAATGACACATTTTTTTATTTAAAGAAATATTACATGTACCATAAATAAATTTATATAAATATTTAAGATAAAATATTTTTTAATTTTTAATTAAATAAGAAAAATATTATTACTTTTTAATAATTCATAAGAAATGACACCTTATTTTTATTAAAAAAATATTTTCTCGTTGGGGATAAATATATTAAATAAATATTTAACATGTATAAATTTTTAAATATAGGATTAAAATATTTATATTAAAAACTATAATTCTACAGTAATATTGTTTAACGATATATGCTAATGATTTATTTTATTTATTTGCAACATCAAATTTCACTTGAGCCTTTTACATTTAGGATTCACTATACGAAATTTGATATTACAAATAAATATTAAAAATTCAATGTTTAATGAGTAAATAATTTAATTCAGAATATAAAAAATTATACTTGCTACTTGGTTGTATAAAATATTATATGCAAAGTTATACTATCTAAATATTAATTTGTAATATAAATATTTAACAAGTAAATTATATTTAATTCAAAATTTAAAAAAGAATTGTTATCTTAAATTATTTAATATATTCATAGTACATGTAATATTTTTTTTTAAATAAAGAAAATGTGTTGTTTAGTAAGGATTATTAAAAATATATTAAATTTATTTTACTTCTAACACCTTTAAGAGTCAAATAGTTTAATCATTAAAATAAGAGGGTAAGTATATTTTTCATAGTACGCGAGGTAAATGTTATATAGAAAATAGTACAATGGGGTAAAATGTATTTTTCCCTAAAATAGCAAAGGAAATAATTTGGCTCTCTAACATGACCCATAAGGTAATATTTTTTTTCTACACTAAGTAAAATAAATAAGATTGTGTGATTATTTGAATTAATTTCGAAAATTAAATCAGATCAGAAATAAAATAAAAAAAGTTGTTACAAAATCGAAGCCTTTCGAATCAAAACCGGTGAAAATTGGAAATTCCGTTCCAACTTGCTCATATTGAAACAATTGGAAATTTTGTTTTCGAGGTTCGTAAATTTTTTCGAAGTATTTATTTTGCATAAATTATATATTAAGTGGAAATATGAATAAATATATACTTCAAGCATGGTATATTTTTTCTAGATTTTTATATATCATTTTGTGGTAAGTTGGTGCAAGGTCCTATGATCGAATCCTGACAGCCGCAATATGGGAATTTCAACTCCAATTAGAATTGGATCCTTGTGGGCACCAGGTCCGGATCCACTACCTTAACGGGCCGTTGAGTTACCATGATTTACATTCCTCCATCAAATATTCTTTGAGCCAAGGAATGGGGTCATGGGGCGAAAGATTTCGTCTTTTGGTACATAAATTAATATTTCCTTTATAAGCTTTCGCATTATATACAATTTATCATAATATTGGTTTAGGGGCAGCGTTCCCAGTTTTTTTTTAAGTTTTTTCACAAAAAAACATAAATTATCACGAAATTAGTAATTATTTCAATATTTTAATTAAATGATATAAAATAAATTGTATAATATAATACCCAAAATATAATATTTTCTTATATATTATTTAATTTCATTTAGTTGATACTAATTTATTTAAATTTAGTTTTATTTTAATGTTTAATATTTATTTGGCAACGAATATTTGATGACAAAAATTACTAAGTGCAAGACCTTACTTCATGCAAGACCGAAATATAAATAAATTTACTAAGATCAAGACTGGAAATTACAAATATAACCCCAATAATAATTTAGATATTATTAATTTAATTAAGCTAATTGCTATTGCAAGACAAAAAAAAAAAAAAAATACAAAAAAAAGAATAAAAAAAGAAAAGGAAAAAAGAGAGGGAACTCACTCCCCCAACAAAACACCAACATCTTCTTCTTCATCCTCATTTTACACATTTTCTTCCACAAAAAAATCTTCCATATTCTCCAAAATCCTTATCACATAAAACACTCAAATCTTTACTAAAACTTGAAAAGAAGGACATTATGGATACACAAGACATAAATATGGAGGATTCTAAGGTCGAAGAACACAAAGAGGTAAGAAATATTGTACTTTGTGATCGTTTTTCTTGTTTTTCGCACCTCATTTCACGTACAAAAAATTCGACATGTACAGGTCGAAATATCCGCTTAATATCGACACAGTAGTGTCGAAAATTTCAACATAATTCGACACTCCTTAACTGTCGAATTATATTGAAATTTTCGACATTCTGGTGTCGATATTAAGCGCATATTTCGACGCTGGTGTGTCGATTTTTCAAAAATCTACACCAGTATGTCGAAAAATTTCCAAAAAATCGACAAGTACAGGTCGTTTTTTGTAAAACCGCAACTCCTTCAACAATAGTGCTACAATCGAACCCTAGAATCATCAACTATGTTCTAAAATGACTTGAATTCATTATTCTAACAATAAAATCATGTTTATCACATTTATTTCTCAAAAAAAAAAAATTAATTCAAAAAGTAATTTCCTTACTTGTTTTTCGTGAGATTGTTGTGGCGGGGTTGGGGCAACAACGGACTTCAACGGTGACGGGGAGGTGGTGGACTTCAATGGCGACGGCGACAGGGCGACGGCGACGGGGCGACGGCTGAGTGCTGCAATTGATTTTTTTGTTTTCTTCTTCCCTTCTTCCCTCCTCGTTTTTCAATTCTCAATTCAATTTCTTTTTTCTTTCTTTTTTTATTAATTTTTCTTTTTTAAATTGGTCTTGCAAAAGGAAATTAATAAAATAATTTTTATTTTGTTTGTATTTTATTAAGGTTATTATAGTCTTTTTATACTGAATTTAATAAAAAAAATTAATTTGGTCTTGCACTAAGTAATTTTCGTCTTGCAAATAGTCGCTGCCTATTTATTTACATCGTGTTCGAATTGAAATGTACTGCTAGAAGAAAACCAAAACCCCCCTAAACCCACTGCTACAATCACCGGAAAAGAAACTACTATATTCTCAGTGATGGCGTCTGTGGGCGGCGGAGGAGCGGCGGTGGAGTGGCACCAGAGGCCGGCAAACCCTAAAAATCCTATCGTATTCTTCGACATCACCATCGGCAACATCCCTGCTGGCCGTATAAAGATGGAGCTCTTTGCCGATATTGCCCCCAAAAGCGCTGAAAATTTCAGGTAACAGCACTCCCACCACCTCAATCGTATCCGAATATTATTTATTTTATTTGTATCGTCTGTCTTAAACCCTTGGTTGAATGTTTGGTTGATTTAATTTTATTGTTTAAACGTAATTTCAGGGAAAGTATGTGTTCAAAAAATGTTTAGGTATTCAAGCTTGGCCTGACATGTGTGTTTTTTTCGATTAAATCTCGCAAGTTTGACTCAATTAACAATGACACCGAACTCAAACAGATTTCAAACTCGATAAAAGTAAAATAAAAATCGATCCCCTTGTTCAATTCCGCTTGTATCTATGTTCACGTAAATTGGGGATAGTAAGGATTCGTAATGTATCTAAGTTGCTAAATTACGGGGTTGAATGTGCTTGTTTATAGATTTGTGATACTGGCGGTTGGAGGGGAACAATGTGAACATCGTGGTGCTGCATTATAATTCGTTTATGAGAATGTACTATGACACTTTAACCCGTTTAATTTTGGTTTTACGTTTAACATGTCCTTCATCTTCGATTTTATGTATCTGTAAATAGATATGGATTTTGTTCTGAATCCAACTTCTTGGAAGCCGGTCCAACCTCTGTGATCTATATGCCCTTTCACTTCTATTAAAAGACATAAGGTGGTTGTGAATCGGAAGTGCTAGAACTTGGTCAAGATTAGCTCTATGTCGTTTCGTTTCTAATGTGTTGTTTGAAAAAATTGCTGAAAATGGATTTGTGTTCTTGTTAACATTTTCTTCCATTTAGGTTTAGTTTTCTTTGAGTAAAACTTCAAAAGATTATCAACCATTTTCTTGATCCCTTCGTATGTTTCTCGTTCTTTAATTTGTATGCTGCCACTCAGTGACATTTATTTTTCTTATTTACAGGCAGTTCTGCACGGGTGAATACAGGTATGTGACTCCAGAACTTTAGGCTCATATTTTGTATCTTGCTACTATGCTAAAATCATTCAGGAATTCTCACAGCCTTCCTTGTGTACGATGTGGTTTAAAATTAGCTTCTTTCATATCTGCAAAATATATAATTTTACAGAACCAATTATGTAATTGCTTCTTCCAGAAGTTAGACGGTTACAATTAACATTTTATGGAAATTTTATAGACGTGTTTGGAACTGATATGCGAAGGTTAATAATGAAATAGAAAGGCAGGAAAGACTTTGGAGGAAGAAATCGACTGTAGATTATATACTATTCAATGTTCACAAATCACATTCCATTTGCCCTGTCTCCTGCATCATATGCAACCTAGATTTTCCATTACTTTGTTCTTTCAAATCAATGTCTTGTAATTTTGTTTTTAACTGTTCTGACACACACACAACACACACACACACACACACACACACACACACACACACACACACACACACACACACACACACACTCTTCTGATTTATTGTTATGATGCATTATTCAAAATAGAAAGAATCCACCAGAGATGTTGCATGTAAGTCGCTCAGCTGTATGCAAGTTCTAAGAATTGGGTACTTGTATCTTGTTTTGTTACTCAATTTTTCTATTTTCTTCCATCACACTACTAACAAAGTTTCATATTTTATTATTTTATTCAAGATTGTTCCATTTTGGCACATAATCTCGTCCCCTGTAATAATTAAGTCATAAACTACTGGTTCTTATCAGCATGGCTATTTAGTTATTCCTTCCCAAGTATAATTCTTGTCATTCTCGTCCTAACTGATACACACGGTAGTGAAATGAAAAGGCTAGTAGATCAGTCATATTATGGTGACTAGATGTATTTGAAAGAGCTCCCTATGTGTTTAAAAAAAAAAAAAAACTTTCACAAAAATTTAAAAGCACAAACTTTGCGATCTCTAAAAAATTTCAGAGCCCCAACTGTTGTTTCCTGTATCTACAAACGATACTTTCCAGCCTCCTATTTGGATGTTTGGAGGTGGTTTTAAACTTGAATAGGGTAATCAAAATTTCCTGTATAATTCTGTCTCAATGAGAACACTTAGCTGCTATTACTTTAATTTATCTTCTACTTTTAGGATAGTTTTTGATTATGTTCTGATATTTTCCTATGCTTCCGGCAAACCTACTAGAGTTAAAGTTCCATATTTTCTATCTGATTGATGTTTACATTTCATCTTCTGTCTTTTATTTGTTCGAATTTTCAGGAAAGCTGGATTACCTGTTGGTTACAAGGGGTGCCAGTTCCACCGAGTAATTAAGGATTTTATGATCCAAGCCGGTGACTTTCTAAAGGTCTCCCACTTCATTACACCAGAATAATCGTATATTTTGATATAAAAGTCCAAACCCTTTGTTATCTGGCACAGTTAAATATATATAGTTCTTTTGACACTTTTAGCTGATATTTACTTTTATGGCAGGGTGATGGTAGTGGCTGTGTCTCCATATATGGAAGTAAGTTCGATGATGAAAATTTTATTGCAAAACACACTGGACCGGGCCTACTGTCAATGGTAAGTCGGCATTATCTCTACTCTGCAAATGGAGTTATTATTTTCTTTTCATAGTTAAGGTAGCTACTATGAGTTGAGCTATATGATTATTTAAGAGTCCACTTATTTGATTGGAATTCGACTTTCAAATCGGTAATTCTACACTGTTTATTTAGTCCTTATGTGAATCTATTCCTGTTTTTACCTCCAAAAAGAAAATGAACAATTTTCAAAGTGAATATCGTTTCGACGTAGATTTGTTACATTCTCCAAATATTGACATCTAAGAACTCAATGAACATATTAAAAATTAATGCTAATGTTTTGTGATTCCTGAGAATTTACAATTTCCTTCTCAATTCTTCCAAAGAGACACAGTAATGAATTTTGTACTTATCTTTATTATTCAGTCTACTACTTGGTTATAAATTTTAAACACGTCCCTGTATCTAATAATGATTAGCCACAAGGTCAGTTACTTGGTTATTGTTGTCTTGAACCTGAACTCTGTATGATGGCAAGTGTCTGTTTTAGAAATACACGATGTCTTAAATTTGATTAATTATTTTCTTATATTTGGCAGGCAAACAGTGGGCCGAATTCTAATGGTTGTCAGGTAACAAAATCAAATTTATGCATCTTACTGTGTTAGATTATAGTTTCTGTTCGGATAACCACATATTTTTTGAATGCTCGTGCAAAATCAAATTACACGGGGAATTGAAGACCAAAAAAAAATATGTTATTATGTGACTTGTAGATTTTTCAGGAAAATTATTATCTTTTAATCTTTTACGAACCAATGCTGTTATTTCTAATTGTATATTTTCATATGGCAGTTCTTCATTACCCTTGGCAAATGTGACTGGCTTGACAACAAACATGTTGTCTTCGGGGTACGTCTATTTCAATGCCACTCAGCTAATTATCTATTCTTTTATGTTGTGATTCATCGTTTATTAATATGTTGCTAATATCTACAAAAAACCCCAATCTTTTTTTTCTCAAGTAACACAATTTTCTGGATTATGGAAAATTTGATGTAATTGTTTTTGCTGAAAAAAATTCCGATTTTTATACAGCGGGTTCTTGGAGATGGTCTTTTGATTGCAAGGAAAATAGAGAATGTGGCGACTGGGCCTAACAACCGACCTAAACTGGCTTGTGCTATTGCCGAATGTGGAGAAATGTAGAACCAACATTAATGCTGAATAACAACAATGTGTTTTTTCTCAGGCTGTAATTTGATATAACATCTTACAAGATTGATGTTACTGAACTGAATTATATTCTACTTAGAAAAACAAGCTGCTGCACCAAGTGCTGAATATGGAGAAATGTACACAGTTGGTTCCATTGTGTATTTTTCACGATACTAAAGCAAAAGATACATAAAATCGTTATGCTGAGAGAGAGAGAGAGAGAGAGAGATCCCAAATTCATAGTGTTACAACCTCAATATTTATTTGCTAGATACAAAATCTTCAAACTCAAGGGAATAATCAAATGATTCGAACAAACTACGGAGAAAGAATACAAATACAAAGGGAAAAAAAAAACAGATTGAAAGATTGAATCTTTGACTAAGATGCAGATTTAGGGATTTTGTACTGTTTCTTGAGGAACTGGGAAGCCTCTGAATCACTCCTATGGCATAAAATCCTTATAAGAGTCTTTGCATCTGCGCCCAATCTACCCCTCCCGCCCTGCATTTCCATCTCACTTGCCGATTTCAAGTCCTCGATCAATTCCCGACTCTGCCAAAATCCATTAACAAACACATATATACATTTTAGTGTCTGCTTAACAGATTAACTATTGTCTCTATCTAGTTTTTCGTTTTTTTCACACATGCATCATACGAGGGATGTATGTGTGTAATACTATAAAACCTTATATTGCATTTCCATAAGTAGATTTACCTTCAATTGATTCCATATAAAGTGGATTTTAAATCCGTCGCGCTAACTCAAAAAATCTAATTCGAAAAAATAGTTCAAATCTATTTGTAAAATGAATTTATCCAAATGGGATATTTTATTACAAAACTAACCTCGTAGCTCTGCAACTTAATGATCTGGCGAATGCGTGCTACTTGGTTTTCCACAACACCACGAGGGAGCCCATCTCCTCCAGAGATAAAGAACTCCTACAAAATCAAACATGCATTAAAATAATGGAATTTACTTTACTCGCCACTTTCATTAGTGCCTCGTTTGGTTCCCAAGTTAAGATTATGCAAACTTATGAGAACCCAATTGTATAATTGAATTGCTCCAATACACAATACTTCTGTAATAAACAAACGTGGGCCAACCAACCCCAAAGAAGTTAATGTACTAAACAAACATCAAACGAGACCGGATTATTAAATTAATCATGGCTTATGTCTTATGTTACGATAAATCACATGCTAGCTCTTGCGATGTACCTTTAGAACCTCCAAGTCTTCTTCAAGTAGCTTAGCATCTGCCGGAGTGAAAAGACGTGATGGACCTCCGTCTAATACTACGCGGATTAAGCCATCCTATTAAAAAAAAAAAAAAAGGATATCATGAAAAATTTACTTAGCTATTATCTATACACAGACAATTTAAATAGATTGTGATAAGAGACAAACCAGTGATGCTTGAAGGAGTCCCGTTACAACACGATCTCTAAGTGGCTCTACTATCAAATCACATAACTGGTTAAGTACCTGCAGACATTATCAAGAAGACATAATATTTGGTGAATTAAATATTAAAAAAATAATAATAAACAAAATATTCTCATCTCAATTTCAGAAAATAAAAACCGTACCACGTCAAGAGGATCGATCAGAGTTTCCAACCTAGACTGATGAACACTTGGCTTATACAGACCATCGATGAACACCTCTCTCAAATCCCAAAATATTGTTTTAGTTCCTACAAATAAATAAAATAAAATAAATAAATAAAAAACCATAAAAGCTTGAGTGTATTATTGATTGCAAACTTGAGAATATAAATTTCCAATTAGATGTACCGGCAAATTCGCAGATTTGATCAATGGCTGCATTAATATCTTTTCTACTGCCATCAAAACTGTCCTTTTGGATGGAATTTCTCAGGTTATCTTCGGTGGGTCTTTCTGCATTAAGGAATAGCAGCATAAACTTTGTTAAAATTAAAATAAATTAACACTAATTATTTTCAGTATTTTTAACTGCACTGTGTAAATCGTGGAGTGTACATTACAGATTTCAACAGCTGTCATATCGAACATTAACTAAAGCCCCAAGTATGCATTACTTACTTGTCGAGTGAGCGTGATACTTTTTAGTCCATCGCCCGGAAATGCTATCTTCCAATATATTAAGTTGGCTGATCGCATACTACAGTTACGCAACAAGTTGAGTTAGTACCAGGAATATGAACACAAGTACTTATACAAGAGCAATTATACACACAAGCACCCTTATATGCATGTGTGTGTGTGTGTGTGTGTGTGTGTGTGTATAAAATAAAATAAACACTAATTCAGACAGCACTCTGCCACAGTGGTGTGTCATTTAAACTCACAAAAAGGGTATTGAGTTGAACGCAAAGTGTAGGTGTCGTCAAAACATTGATATCGGTTGACTTTCTAACATCGGGCAGTCTTGAATCAGTTAGTTCTTTCTTTACAAAAGCTTTAATTCCACTTTCTTTCCTGTACCGTGTAAGAGGCGGGACAGGTGGAATTATGTCTTCCTTGTCAGCTGCAGCACAATAAAATTAACTATTTTATATCACACATAGGATTGAAACTTTAAAAATAAAAAAACGCCTCGTAAGTTTGCGAAGTAAAGTAATGAAGACCTCCACGCAACTAAAACGCAGACCAAGTGGAAAATCACATTAATGCCAACAGTCATTAAAATTGAGTAATTGACTAATGCAAGTACAGTCTAGTGTTCTAGAATTAAATTGTTAGAAATAGAGGTTCGTAAAAATACCTACGAAAACATTTACATATAAAATAATTGAAACTTTCTCAATTTTTTTTTTCTTTTCCTCTCGTTTTCTTTTTCTTTCTCTCAATTCGTATTTTCACTGTACGGTTATGTATATACATCCTTCAAGTAATAAAAAACATTTACTTTTTATTATTCTTCTTTTATTTTTTTTATTCTTCTTTTACTTTTTTATTCTCTTCTTTTTCTTTTTTCTTTTTTTGGGTTTTTTGCCACCAGGTTGCTTATAAGTTTATAATGAGAAAACATTGTGGTAATTAGTATCATTCATAACACTTCGTCAATGTTAAAATATATAAGGAATGGAACAATATTTGGTATAAAAATATGAGATAAAGACAATACCTAAGCTGTCAAGAACATGTCTGGTATATACTTGAAATGCATTGTCAATGCCACGAAAGAGGCTGCTCAGTTCTCCAGGCCTCATCGGAACTTTAAGAGCAAAGAATTGATCAACTGTCTGCAAACAAAAATTAAAAGTTAGCTCAAGCTTTATCATTGAGAGATTATACAGTCTGGTAATACTTTCAGGTGACTTTGTCAATATTTCTCGGACAAAAAAGAAAAGAAAAAAGCAAAGTAAGGGTATGATAAACTGTGAACCTCCTCAACAATCCTGTAGACCTCAACGATTGAACTTCCATGCCTTTGCTGAGCTGAGACTGGGGCCCAATTCTACAAAGAAAAAATAAATAAATAAAATGCGACCCTCATTTGTGGCTTAAGAAATTACAGTCTCCTAAATTTACTCATTATACAATACAAGAGTGTTTTGTTCAACAACGAGAACTTTGCTTTTTGTTATAACACACAACTTAAATATCAGCTTGCTACTTTTAGAAACCTTATGCATTACCAGCCAAACTTACTATTGGGTATCGACAACACCATATTCACAACTTCAGAAACTCAACTATAAGTCCCGCTCTGGACGATTAACGGACGAACACATATTATCCAAATTTCATTAATGTATAAAATACCAATTCAGTCAGATTGAACTTTCTGCCTGAATATTTTGAACCTCGTAGTGGACAGTTGCTATATTTAAATATCAACTTTACGATAATCCAGCATTTGCAAGGGTTATTTCTTACCAGAGACCTAATACTGAATGATTTATGTAATAATTGCAGTAAAAGTTAATACCTCCTGCTGAATAACTCGTTCAACCCAAGCTGAAATTCTTGCAAGTTGTGAATTGACCCAACGGAGCACCAATGTTCCAGATACTATCTCAATCTGAATTAAAATAAATAAATGTCAAATAATCCAATAAAGAACTCATTTCGTGTCGAAAATAAAAGAAAACACCTCACCTTGTACAAGTTTAGTTTCTTCAGGTAAGAATCTGCACTTCCCTCTTCACAGGTAGATGTTATTACGGATATTAAATTTTGCTCAAGACTATCAGCAGCTGGAAATACAGATACAACATCCTCCGTAAGATGTTCGGCGCTATCGAGGAATGGTTTCTGCACAATTTTTAAATATAATTAGACCTTCCAAATTACTCGATAAACAAGGCGAAGAAATATCGAGATGCAAGCTAAAGTTCACCAGTTTGATGCCATAAAGCTTGTGAACAAGAGATGCTAGAACAGCACCGGCATTGGGATGTCGCTGTGTTAGTATAGGCAAATGCATGGTTGTGTCTTTTTTCAAAAACTTCCTTGTTTCTTCAGCAAGTAATGCTAGGGGGTGTTCGTTTGTTGAGTCAACCAATGTTTCAACATCCTCTATAATCTGCAAAACAAATAAAATTAAGGAACTTCATCTTATTACAACTAGGGAACATTTAATTACTAAAAGATAATGTTTTTAAGAATATTTCAGAAAGAAACAATATGGAATATTGAATTTATAAAGTTGAGTGGCAGAAGTTAGAAACTACTTACCCTGGCAAATGCATGCTTAATTGACGATGACACGTATTTTTCTATTTGCTCTGTATCTGTGAGAGGCGCAGCCTGCATTGCCTGCAGTTGAAGGTTTTATATTATTAGTACAATATTAAACTTCTAGCAAATTTCAGTTGGGCCAAAAAGCACGTGATAGTTCTATAAAGAAATTGCACGAAAATCAAAATCCATCGAAAATAGATATATACTAGAAGTTTCCCAAGAGCAGAACTAAACGACAAGTTTAACTTCAGGGAAAAAAAAAAGTAATACCAACTCTGGTTCTTCAAGAAGAAGCCTCCGAGCAACCATGGCAACAAGTAATCCATTCTCCATCATTTTAGATCCCTAAAAAGAACAATAGATGAAAATAACGTGTTTAATTACTGAGAAACAATCTTCCAAATTTCTTACATCTATGCTTTAATGGGAAACTGAAATTAGTGCAAATTCACATGTAAGAAAATTGGATATCGAATTAAACTAAAAGACAGCCATCAAAATGTGCACGAATGGTGTAAAATTTAACTTGACGTCTACAGTCAATCAACTTATACGTAAATGCTGAAATTCTTTTCTGAAATACCTCAGAGAAATGGAGATGGTAATCACTCAGCCTTGTGTCAGCCCATTTTTGAATAGGTAACAAAAACGACTGCAAGAAAGTCAACTCCTGAAAACCCTTCTCGCTCTGAATGCTACAAGTCAAGCTTTTCAAGTGCAATCTCTCCTGTGGGCCCCTTTGCTCCTTTAAAGGTATTCTCTTCAACTGGTAAATGGCATGTTGCAGTATATCTTGCTCACCAGTGATAATAAACTGTAATAAATAAATAAAAGCGCACTTCACTACCATTCGTCCACTCATTTTCAAATTCATGCATTACAAAAGAGCAGATTTAAGTCAATCAACTCTTCACCACAAATTCTTCAGTTCAATACCTGACGAAATAACACCCATGCATAGCAAGTGTAATGGATTGTTTCTGTTATTCCTAAAATACGCCATGTTGACTTAAAAAGCTCCAACATTTCATCCACTTCCTGTCATGAAGAAATTTGTTATTTCAAATTCAGAAATTTGTTATAGGTTTATGGTTTCTTCAAAAGTCAAAAGTTCAAGAAACTCTGTGAGTCCACTAAATTTTCCCTTTTCACTAACCTCTGTAAGCTTGCCCTCATCCAAAACATCAAAGACACTAAGCAGTAATTTCTCATATAATCGAACATTTAAGTGATAACCATCAGCCCAGTGGCATATTTCACCGGTTAAATCGCCTCGTGCAGGCCTCTCTGCAAGCGGAATAGCAATATCCCTTAGAGATCTCAAACAATCGGTTCGTTGAAGATCACCTGTACCTGATGGAAGAGACTGGAAAAAAATAAAACATGATTTTTAGTCAGAGTTGCAAAAGAAGAACCTGTTAACTGTCTAGGGCAGATAAAAGTCGAAATCTACAAATAAGTTCAAAATGTTTGAACCGGACCTCAGACTCTTCAATCTTTGCTAGAAGAACCCTCAACTCACTTGCTTTTCTTCCAGATTCTCCAAATCCTACAACGGGATGATTTACAAGGCCTTCCTCCAACATATTTAACTGGACTGACACCAAATCAAAAGAGCATAAATAGGAGGTAATTCAAGATATGCCATCAGAATTTCAAACCTTCAGAATTTTCAAACGCCAAAAGAACAATATTGAGGAAGAAGGAAAAATGAAAGAAAAGAAAACAGAAAGCTCACTTGTCTCTTTTGCCATTTGATATAAGATTTCTTGTCTGAAAACTCTGTACGTGATATGCAACATAATAACTCCAAAGGAATCAATAGAGTATCCATCCTTTTCCCAACTTTTCCAACCATGCCACTTAGAAGTGCCCTTCTCGTTCTAATGTCCATTTCCTCCGAAATCTTTTCATTTTTATAAACGAAAAATTAGTAAACCATAGTGATGGACATCAAAGTAAATTAACAATGTCGTATAACCACTGCTATAAATCTTAACAGAAAATCAGTTAAGACCAAAGTAATAACAGATGTCTTAGTTCAACTCACATATTTCTTCACTCTGAAAATAGAAATGTCAAGCCGTATAGAAAATATATGAATAAAGTTAAGTTCAGCAGCAACAAATGAGATGATTCTAATATTTAATACCGACAGAAGAAAAAAAAAATGAATGCAGAATGGCTAGCAAATATGAATACAGGGACATGGGACCGCGCCTATTTAGAAGCTAATTCAGCTTGTTCTGAAAATAATTCAAGAAAATGTAGGATTATCAGACAAAAATTAGCAGTGGCTAACATATTAATTATGATTTTTTAAGCTATACATGTACAAAATTAAAGAATTTGAGGGTTATGTATAAATTGTTGGAGATGGACATGTGAGTGTAGTTTAGTTGAACTGTCAATCTGAGTTTACTTAGAGTAACTTTGGGGGAAAACGGTCCTTAGCATAAGAGCAATGTGGTAGCGCCTTGCATTCTTGACTTAATATATAAATATTCAATGAAAACTGTTGCAAAATATATTAGGGAAGAACATAAAGTACCTCCATCTGAACACGCATCGTCTCCAACAGTCTAACTAAACCATGTGAATTCTGAGATTGCATGACTACACTTTCACTTTTAGTTCTCCCTAGCTTCTTCATCAATCCAGACTTCTTCTCTTTCTTTTTTTCCTTTGATGGAACAATAAGTCCTCTGTTTATACATCACAAAAACAATAAATTCAAAACTTCCATTACTCAGATAGGATTAATCAAAAGCCAGAGAGAGAGAGAGAGAGACCCAGAAGCTCCAGCAGCAGCAAGGAGGACTTCATATGCAGTTTCACGGAGATCGTCATCGGTTACACCTGTGATGAAATAGTGAAAATTGAAAAATATATACTTGAAAGTTGAATCCTTTCTATTGAAATGGACTTGTAATTCAATAAAATTTACACGAATTGACTGCATTCAAGGAAAAATAAGCCAAACACAAGAGCGCAAACACCTTAAAATGTTCAATCCTATTAGATCGCATGATTCAAAAATTAATAATAATTAAAAAAAGAATTGCTTTAGGAAGTTATGCACAGGAAAAACCATCAGAAGCAGTGAATGTATAAAAAGATTAACTCGAAATATTCCAAAGTCGACAATCACAGATCACATTTACCAGTAGCAAATGAAGGCAATTCCAAAACAACATCAGATGCATCATTCAGAACCCTTCTGGAATATCTACGGCTTTCATCCTCGTGCAGAAAATCATCCTCAAAATCATCAATGTCATCAACTGTTAGCTCGTTAACTTGCGCAGACTTAAGAGACTGCGACTTTGAAAAGCTCGCCGATTCATCGACTTGTTCACTCTCCATAGGCTCCGAAGCCGAAAGGCTCGAAAAAATTGTAGTTGGAATCCCAACAGAGACAGGTGGAGGTGCCCTTCGAGGAGGAGAACCTGAAGATTCAGGGTTCGTCACTAGAAAGAATTCATCCGAGGAACCTGCACTATTCTTTTTTCAAGAAATTATGAAAAATAAAAGAGAACATGAGTTACTAAACTAAGCATACTCCTCTCAGACATTTAATCAAACACATTGGGAGCGAGAAACTGGAATGACGATCTTACAACGGTGGGGAAGCAAGTGCCGTCATGGTAATCACGAATAGCTTCCGACAGTTCGAGCATATCACCTACATTATTAGTAGCACTTGTCATGCTTTATAGTTCATTCATTATTACATAGTAAAGACGAAATAAGAGAAAATCTCTGTCGAAATTAATCACCTTTCTTGGCACAATTGAGGACATAATCGACACTGACTTGATCGAGATCGACATCGTCTAAAGACACTGCACCAGGAGGCATAACCACCTTCTTTATCAAGCTACTGGAGAGTATGAAATCTATGAGTACTCTCCTATCCCGCCGAAATCTTTGCAACAGTTCGATTTCATTCTCCCTGTACAATTGAAATTTGATATCAACAACTCTTTTTCGTTTCGTTACTCAGAAAGAAAATCAGTGATGACTACTGGGAAAAAACAATTGAGAAAATTGAACAAAAACACAAATGCAAAAACAAAGATCCAAACATACTCATCCATGGCGACTCGAAACTTGAAGAAGTCAGCAGCTGAATCTCGATCGCCGCGGCATTAACAAGATTTCAACAAAGATGAAGTCTTTAGAGATGAATTGGTCGAGTTGACATCCGATTCGAGCTGGGATTTTGTGGGGTTTGTTGAATGGAAAGTAGAATTGAAGCGCAGTTGAGTAGGGGATGAATTGTTGAAATGGGGTGGTAGAAGAGGTGAATGTTTGGAGGAATTGAGAGCGAAATTGAATTGAATTGAATGGAAGTTGAGATGTGAATTGTTTGTTGGGTTATATCTAACAGATTTCAAGAGTCAAAAGACAAAAACAGTAGACTAAAACAACAGCTAAGTATGAAAAATTGAAATGATTGAATGGTTAAATATTTAACGGTGACGGTGGCGGTGGCGGTGGCGGTGGCGGTGAGATTCGTAGTCGTCCCTATATCGGAGCGTCGTTGCGCAGCCTTCTCTTTTTCTTTTCTTTTTCTACAATTTATAATAATAATAATAATAATAATAATAATAATAATAATAATAATAATAATAATTAAAATGATTGCATGCGCCATTTAATTGTGGAGGTAATTTTTTTACCATTCTTGAAAAATCAAAAGGTAATTTCCACAAAAACTATATCAAGCTCTTGGACTTCGATTTCAGATTCCGATCGAGACGTTAACAAATCGGAGGTAATTCTTACATTTTTTTTTATTGTTTCGTCACGCATATTACGATTATTAATTTTTTTTTTAAAACGACGCATTTGGTTTTACTCGTGTGATTCTACACGAGTACAGTGGAGTTACTCGTGTAGAAGCACGCGAGTAGATGAATGTAATTTATTTTTTTATTATTATTATTATTTAAAAATTCGTATGTTTTTTTATTGAAAAATATTTTAAAAAATTGAGGGCGTGTGTTATTATGCGAACAGGGGGTTTGTACTCGTGTCAAACCACGCGAGCTCAGTTCATCGAGCTCGCATAAAATCACACGAGCTCCAATTTTTTTTTTTTTTTTGCTGCTCGTGTGAAAACATGCGAGCAGATCTATTTTCCTCGCGTACCTACACACGAATAAAATTGGTTTACTCGCTTGTTTTTCCTACGAGCAACTTTAATTTTTTATTTTTTTTATTTTTAATTGTTTTTTAAAATTAAATATTAATTCAATTTTTTTGTTAAATTGTAGATGGCCGGAGGTAGAGGGAAAAGTTTAATGAGTCAAGTTGCGGGAAAAGGTAAGAGTTTAATGAAAGCTTTGGGTCGGAAGTCGAACAATCCGGATGATCCGGATCGTATTGGAGATCGGGGAGTTCTTGCATCATCCGATCGTAGAAGGAAAGTGATGGATAGAGAAGAAGCAAAGAGAGCGAGGGAAGAAGCACTGCAGTAGGAGTCGGGCCTTCTGATGATCTTCAAGTCGGTCGTGTTCGTACTCTGTAGCAGTACGCGTCCGATGATGACGAGGAGATGGTGGCTAACAATGACGGCGATGATGACGAGGAAATGGTGGCTAATGATGACGGCAATGATGATCATGATGGCGGGGAGCCGACACGTAAAGGTGGTCCTGGCATAAATTTTACAATTTTGGATGGTCCGTCGTATTTGAAGGGTCCATGCGAGGAAGGGCCTGAAATTTTGGAGTTTATGCGTTGGTTCAAGTCGCATATAGCGATTTATGTTTGGGATGGACATGTAAGTTTGTTTTTAATACGTGCTTTATATATTTTTATACTTTGTGTTTTCGCTATCTAATAAATGCAATTAATTAGGAACGTCGTGCTACTGGACGGGTTGAGTCAAGAAATAAAGCACTGGAAACCTACTTCGGCCTGCAGGGTGACATGATGATTAGCATGTTGGAGGCAATCGGGCTTTACCACTTACGACATTATTGGCTCCCCAATATGATGTTGGGTTTCGGGCACGCATACGCAGCGGAAAACAAAAATTTATGCGAATTAAACAAGTTTAAAACGCACATAGTACATGCCCGATAATTTAAATCAATTAATTGCGTACCTTTGCGCTTCCAGCGAAATTAAAAACAACATACATGCTAATAAATTTAACCGAATTTAAATCAATTAACATGCTCGCGTTTAAACCAAATAACATGCTTGCAACGATTTGATCGATTACACATAATCACATAAAATAATACGAAACAAACATGAATACATAGGTTTAAACAAAACTCAAATCGAAACTAGGGTTTCACGTGTTTACCTCTTGAAGCGTGAGGTAGGAGCGTATAGCACGTCGAGATTGCTACGGAAACCAATCCGTACAATCGGGGCAGCAATGGAATGCAGCGGCAGCAGCGGCGGATTGACCACGGCGGCGCGTGAGCTTCACGCGCGGACTTCCGGGGCGGCGCGTGGGGCAGCGTGCGGCTTCGGCTCGTGCGTTGCTCCTCGATTCTCCAATCTACAGTCTTCCTCCTCTCGGATTTCACCTCGTATACTTCGATCTACTAAAACGTGGCACTAGACACGAAGTAGTTAGAATTAACGGAAGAAAAGAAAGAAGAAAAGAATACCGAAAGAGATCGGCCAAGGGATGGCCGATTCCGGCGACGAGGCGGCGTCAACGGCGGAGGTGGCCGCGCGAGAGAGAGAGCGAGAGAGAGAGGTGGACGGTCGCTTTAGGGTTAGGGTTTGTTATCTTTGTGCAAGGCCTATAAATCATGTATTTATAGTCCCTTGCATAAAACCCTAGCGGGCTTAAGTTGGACCGGGCCCAACAGCTTAAGCTTGTCAGTTCCTTTAATCGCTCGTCTCTCTCAATTCAATGTCCGAAAAATTGCAACGATTACATTTTCGGAATCATTATAATTTCCTCGTCATTACGAGTGCCATCTCTCATTTTCCAACTTTCCAAAAGTGGAAACTCTAGTTCAGTGCACTTTCTAAATTTGGAAACTTCCCGATTTAGAAAGTTCACTAATACGTTCGCCTATTCTTTTCCTTTTCTGATTCTCATTCATAATTCCAAATTACGAATGTTGGACTCAATCATATTGACTTCCAATCATGCAAAGATAAACTATTTTATCTCTGACCGTTTATTCAAAGATCTCATGTGCACGAGCAGTGTGACCCTCGATGGTTCAGGTGTAAGCTAGCCGTGGGCCCACAACCCTTTGTGGTCAAAACTCGTCCCCTTCGAGTTATGATTAAGATGAAGCTCGTTTCACCTTAATCACCCAACGAATCAAGATTGGCGTCTAGCAACTACGCGTCATGATTCCCTAGATACAAATGAAGTGTCTGCAAGAACCTTCAGATATAGTTAACGTACAGTACGGTCCCTTCGATTCATATGTCCCGATCGAACTAGAGGCATTGGTTCATCGAGACCTCTTTATATGTTCGATGACGGTGCGATCGTTCTAAGTGTTGTAATCCTTACGTGCATGACTTAGAGAATCGAATTCTCTAATCATCACTTAGTCAGCTCTGGCCAGAGACTTAGAATGATTACAAACTTTCAGAACACACAGGACATCCAAGACTATTCTAGCGATCGAATCCCCGACTACAATGCACAGACCTCCCACTAGATTTCGGACTGCACGAACACTGGCCCTTGGGATGGTCCTCGGTGGAACTCAGGGACAGGTCACGATACAGCTGGTCCTCTAGTGAAGTCACGGTGATGTCTAGGTCATAAGGACTAATGGTGTACAACTATACCATAGATATCTCTACTCGATTATTGGGAACCACTTAGAGATTTCTACGGTGAGGGAGTTCAGTGAACTCGTCAACTTACGAGCACCCACTTATGCATGCCGATATCACAATACCGTTTACTGATGAGATGCAGTACACATACACTAAGTGCTAGTCTTAATGGGAAAGGCCGATATCCTCATTAGTGGCGTAACCCTTCGACTAGGAACACGTTTAACAGTTATAATACTTAAGTAAATATCTCACGATCCTAACGATCAATTACTAGTACTTGTAATAACTGTAAGGACTATATCTATGCTTGTGACAAAGGGACAAAGATATAGAATGCCAAGGTGTTTTATCATTAATACGAATAAAGGTTCGTTTATTACAATAATAAATACGAAAGACCACAGCCACATGTTGGCTTGTTGGTCACCTACTCTAACAATCTCCCACTTGACCTAAAGCCAACTACCCATAAATCGCAATCCCATCGACTCTCGATGTTTCTCATGGACCGATCTCGGTAAAGGCTTCGTGAAGGGGTCTGCAACGTTCTCTTCCGAGGTGACTCGTTCAACCTTAACTTCACATCTATCAATGATCTCTCGGATCACGTGATACTTCATCAGAATATGCTTCGACTTCTGATGAGATCGTGGCTCCTTAGCTTGCGCCACGGCTCCGGTGTTATCACAGTACAACGGTACTGGATCACTAGCATCAGAAATGACACCCAACTCTTGGATGAATTTCCTTATCCAAGTCCCTTCTTTTGCAGCTTCGGACGCTGCAATGTATTCTGCTTCGGTAGTGGAATCGGCCGTCGTGCTTTGCTTGGAACTCTTCCAACACACGGCACCACCATTAAGCGTGAATATAAATCCAGAATTCGACTTCGAGTCGTCCACATCCGATTGAAAACTAGAGTCAGTAAAACCTTCTAATTTCAACTCGGCACCCCCATAGACCAAAAATATATCCTTAGTTCTTCGCAAGTACTTGAGGATATCTTTCACGGCTTTCCAGTGAGCCGGGCCGGGGTTAGACTGATATCTGCTTGTGACACTCACAGCATACGCAATATCGGGTCTTGTACATAGCATGCCATACATTATGCTTCCTATGGCAGAAGCATAGGGCGTCCTTTTCATCTCCTCGATTTCACTAGATGTTTGCGGACACATAGATTTCGAGAGACGAACCCCATGGGACATTGGCAAGAATCCCTTCTTGGATTATTCCATGCTAAACCGTTTCATAACGGTGTCTATGTACAGGCTTTGGGATAAGCCAAGCATCTTTCTTGCTCTATCTCTATAGATGCGTATTCCTAATACATAAGATGCTTCTCCCAAATCCTTCATTGAGAAACGTGTGGACAACCATGCTTTCGTTTGCTGCAACATTCCTACATCATTCCCAATGAGCAGAATGTCATCAACGTAAAGCACTAAAAATATTACTGCCCTCCCACTAACCTTCTTGTATACACAAGGTTCCTCCGGGTTCTTCTCAAAATCAAACTCTTTGATAGTTGAGTCGAACCTAATGTTCCAACTACGGGATGCTTGCTTCAATCCATAAATGGATCGCTGGAGCTTGCA